GTGAAGAGCAGACGTAGGAAGCATAGAGGGTCGTCGTAAATATACTCGCTTCAGAGCTTGCTTCATAAGGTAGTCGGGGACACATCTCTAACGAATTTGGAGGCTTCCTGCATACGACCCCGATATGTAATGAGGCCCGCGTCTGAGTCATTTGCTCTGGAGACTTTGAATTCTACCGAGCAACAAAACGACGGTAAACAGGTGCCTCCAAAGTTCACTATGTCGCCATTCGCAGTTTTCGAACTATTTTAAATGCCTGGAAGGATAATGTAATCGTTCACCGCAAGCGGAGATGGGTTGTGGCTTTGCTAACGCCACATATGGTTTCTGGATCGAATGCAAGACGGAATGGACTTCAATATGGCAAAGCCTTTCATGTATGCGCAGCCACTTCAATGGTACCACACCTACCTGAAGGGCAAAGATACTGGCACATACATTGTTTGGCTCCGTGATCCAATTCATAGGCTAAATGCGATTCAAGACATCGCTTAGAACGAGAACTCCTGATCGGAAGCCAAATTCAAATGAGCTTCACACAGCGGTCGAGCGACTTACCGTTGATTTTTTTGTGACTGCAATAAATGAGCTTGGAAGTGGATCAACTGCACCAGTCAATTTCGAGTTATAGGTAGTCTGAGGAAGGTCAGGCACGAATAAGTTCGGGGGGATGGGAAAACTCGGTTGAGCCTGGATTTCATCCCATACCGCCGATCATTCAAGTGCTGTGAAATGCCTTTAACTACCACTCCCATCCTCTGAGTAATTTATGGGAGTTAGAACTCAAAAGACCACCCCCATTCCGAAAAATGTTTTTGCGTTTCAGATAAGATGACGACAGTCTCTTGCCACACGCGGCCCTCGTTTCCTTACTCGAATCCGAAAGGTGTACGCGTTGAAGGTACAGAACCGGACAATTTGGTCGTCTACTGGAAACCCATGGAAAAATATTACTGGAATGCTCCTCACTTACAGTATCTTGTCAGGTAACTGCTTTCCAAGATTTTTCGGTTGAAACATCATTTCAACTTTAGATCATCCGCGATTAGCACAGGTATGGGGCATCAACTGCTATTCCTTACTTCCTTGCCTCTGCTCTTTTTTTCTGCTCTATACAAAAATTAGCTACTCCAATAACTACTTAGTTTCATAACGCCATGAATGATAATGAGCGCTATTTTTGTTACGGTTAAAAATATGCTGTAACATGACATCTTTGCCGGTAACACTGATCACTGATACTGATAAGAGCCTATGAAATGTGAACACTGGAAGAGACATGGGAGCATTATCAAACAAGTTTTGCCCTTATTCAACCCAGTCTTTAGAATCATGGTCATTTTAGGTACAAACTGGACGAACCACATACGGCTTGGACTGAGTTTGTTGTTGAGGATCCAATGGCAGTGAGTAATTTTTCAACTAGCTGTATTTTGAACCAATCAGAAAAAAAGCCATAGATCCGTTGATAGGGTGCAAAGAAGGAAAACGCTACTATCTTTCGCCTCTTCTCCCGATAGGCATTCATAATGAGCACGTTCCAGCTAAAGTAGTGGGCGGAACACTTGTGAACGAAGCGCTTTCAAATACCTTTCAGCAAGCAGTCGCCCATAAAAGCGTCGTGAAAGCGCTTCACCTTGCTTCCTTGGCAGCCAAGTAATTGCTTTGTGTGGTGCATATGCTTCCCGTCAGTATGCACTTTTTTTTATCATATTCCGCCTTCATTTTTTTCTGAAACTTTTCCTTGTAATTTTGCCTAAGATAATAGCGGATGAAGTTGCTGTATATTATGAATAGATAATTTGATTTATTCATAAAACATATTGTAAAGCATTTGTAGAGTTACTGTACAGCATTAGTCACTCGAATAATTACACATACTCACAGATTATTCATTCAAAAAAAGAAGAGTTGAAACATAAAATGAGGCGGAAAAGTGTAACAGCTAGGTGGGAATTGTTGTCTCCAATTAGCGGATGATATGCGAACTGATTGTTTGATGAATTCTTCTGTAATATTAGGGCTGGACTCAAAAAAATTGAGGTGTTGGCTCGCGTGGGGTGTTGTGAGTGATGAAAAGACTTTAATAACAGGGTGAAGTGTATAGCATGTGTGTGGGAGGTGAAAGGGGTTGGAATCAGGACGCGAGAAGAATGAGGGCAATGAAGGAACCTATTTTGAAAGAGTATCAGTCACTTGTCTTTTTCATATTATGTTTAATTAGTTCAACATGAGCCCATTCTAATGCCACCAAGATATAAATTGGTCTGGCTCAAGGGTAGAACATGAGATTAAGATGATGATAGATGTGTAATAGAAGGCCTGAATCCGCTTACAGAGTCACGGGAGATTTATAACCTGACTTGTTAAGGAAGGAAACCCTGTAGCAGCTGAGCTGCCAAGCTCACTTGCAACAGGAGCGCCATCGCGATCGCTGATATTTGTAGTAACCGCCAAAGGAAAAAACACAGAATAATTAAAAGGTAAAAGTTTCAAAGTGACGGAGAAATGTATGCCTTCTATAAGTTGGCACGCAAATTTTTTGCCGCCATTCTCCATAAACCTAGTTTATAGAGTGCATTGCTTCAAAGGCTCAGATTACTGTAATGCAAATGGTTTTCCTTCAGAATCATACCATTATCCGCGAGCAGCCAACGTTTCGTCGGTTCCAAGTTCAAGTGCGAGCTGTTAATGCCATTGGACCTAGTATTCTTGAGCCGGACACTGTGAAAGGTTTCTCTGGAGAAGACGGTTTGTGAATTATTCCCTCTACGTGTGCAGTCTTTCGCAGCGAAAATGGTAAAGACCAAGTTTTTGTGGAGTCTTTTGGTTAGCACTTCAATGGTGGTGGAGTTGATGGCGGGGTCAGCCACCATCCACCCCGTTGTGGTAATGGCTGAGGATACTACAGGTGCTATTTTACAGGCAAGTCCCAGGTGGACTAGTAGGAGCGTACCGCGAGACAAATTGTGGGGTCCGATGATGATCTGTCTTGCTTTCCTTTCCTTTTTCAATTCATTCGGTAGCACAGTCAGCACTGCGAAGCGTTTTATACGAAAGTTTTATCCCGAGGCTTGCATTTAGGTTTTTACGACCACCTGAAGGAGGTTACGTGACTTCCTTCCATTTCACTGTTTCTATAGTGTCATTAAAACCTGCAATAACTTGAAACATTATAACGTTGCAGGTTCGCGAAGGCTAGGGTGGCAAGCGAATTAAAACAGCACAGTCTACAGCAGGATAAGAATCTCGCGGGAGTCACACGTTCATATGACACCCACTTGCGCTTGATCGTCTTCTAGAAGCAATAGCGTTGAATAAACAAGTGGTATGCTCGTCCATAACAGACAATACACAAACGCTGGTCGGTGGTTTTGTGCCTGCTAAGCCACGGCCGGGGCCGCGGGCCGACCGGCCCCCGTGCAGTTTGTGCGGTGACTATGGTGTGAGTGGGTCGCTGCAGCCGACTGCTTGGTGATCGGCTGAGGCGAGGGGTGTGACAAGGCGAGACGGTATATGTGGATGGCAGATTACCGTGATAATATCGCGCTCCAGGGAGTGCCACTCGTGGAACCGACTGCCACTTACGATTGTTGTCGATCAGCAGCATCTTCTAAGGCTGTAAGAACATCTCCCACACTTTTTGCGCTAGACATTCCGTCGCTACCTCGCGCAAACACCGCCGAGGAGTTTTTTATATTTAGGCAGGTATCGTGCGGAGTGGTGACTAGTATCACGATCTTGGATGATCTGATAGTGCAAGAATATTTTCAAGTTTCACTCTGTTTCCACAAAACAGCACTTTCGAGTTGACGAAAAGCGTGATAATTTCTCGACAGTCGCACCTTCTCAAATGGGAAAGCGTAGAAGATCGACTAAAGGTGAATCGATTCTTACCGTGTCATGGAGGTGAGATTAGATTCAGAGGCAGATTATACATTGAAGCCTTCAAAGGTGGTACATGATTCTACGCGACCGCCCATCAGCACAAGCTTCGGAATAGCCCGCCACCAAGTTCCAATCTCGTCGCTCAGAATCTTCGAAACGGCCCGTCCGCACACCTAAAACCTTTGCCGCGTCGCCATCTCGCCCCGCCACATGTTAGCTCCGTATTTTGAACAGTTTGTTTTCGGAGTGCCCTGCTTCTTGCTTTGTTTGCGTCCATTCGTTTTCCCGGCAAAATTTGGTCGGTCTTCAAGAGTGATCTATAGATTTATGAAGTAGGGTTCGATCGTCGGAGTCGAGGAAAGGGCTAAAGATCATTCTCAGTAGTCTGACATTATTGTTGCACACCAGGTCACTACGGTGATTCCGATGCTCTCATTTTCAGCACTATTTAGGTAAGCTAATCGAGTAGTGCTAGCATAGCCAAGACCCACAACTCTTCATTTCCGGTGTTCAGCTGTCGGCTCATTCGTACCAAACAGCCTTTTGCCCTTCTGAGGTTGCTCAAAGCCGGAGTTTAGGTGAAAAGGCTAGCTCAATTTAGGAAATCAATTGGGAGTGTCCGGTGTCGCTGGCCCAAAAAAAACCATGAGAAGCGGCTCAGCCCGGAATGGGACCCCTTGACTGCCGTTCACTACCGCACTGACGCTACTCTCTTGGGTACTGCCCTCTTCAACGTTAAACGCCCCCGCTCTCCCAAACGTCAACAGTCAGGCAGCGAGGGTTACCCATCGGCGAGCATGCAGAGCTACGAGTGCAAGTGAGGCCTTGCGCGCCGCTGGAGGCGTAAATTTTGCAACAAAACTTGCATCGTCCCGCACACTCTGAGGGGAAATATACCTAGTCGTAAGGCTCTGCGTTACGACTAGGTATATTTGCCCTTCTTCGATCCGACTTTATCCTGGAATCCTCTTTCAAAGGTGAAGCATTACGATGAAGAGACAGTCATTAAAAATCAAGATAGATGTGGTCCTTGATGCAGGGATAAAGAAAACAACAAAAAAAAAACGGTCTAAAAATCGAGGAAAGGAGATCTCTTCCTCCCATTGAGTTGCGCGTTGAGCGTGTCTCATCGTCACTGACCTCATCAGCGCCAACGCTCTCTTCGCTAGAGCGGCTAAATGAGATAGTAAAGAGGTAGGCGGGCAGAGGTGCGGGTATAGTCACCGCTGGGACCATTCCCTTTGCAGAAGCCCACATCGTTCCGCACTCTTGGGTGGCCCGCCTGCCCTTCGATTAAGTAAATTTCCCCTTCTCTGACTTCCTAACTTATCATGGATGGAGGGTGAGAATTCGTGCATCGGCTATTCCCGCTAGTCATTGCATTGCCAGGTCGTAATCAAATAACGCTGCGATTCTGATTAATAGTAGAATGCGTGGCGCATCTCAAAATAGGATAGATCTATTCTATTAGTTGACTCTTGGCAAACTGTGGCTTTCAGATAGAATTCTGGCGCGATGTTCTGCCAGCGCGAAAGTACCGTATCGCATTACTTCCGAACGAAACTGAAAAGGTGAGTCAGCTTGATTTCTTTTTGATATTCTCTCAACAATAGGACCTTATTCAGGTGATTGCCACCCTAGCGCCCAACTCCAATTACACTGCAGTTATTCGAACTAAGAATCGTCGCTATGGCAGTGAACCAAGCCCAGAAGTCCATCTGACAACTCCTGAAGGATGTGAGTTAACAAACCAATAACTGCAATCTATTAGTTACTATTGGAAAGATTTGCAGTACCGTCGAAAGTGCACAACTTACGTGTGATGGCCGTTGGAGCACATGCTATTTTGACTCTCTGGGATCCTCCAAGGCATCCAAACGGTCTTCTGAGAGGCTATTTCCTTTCCTTCGAGAACGAGAAAAGTACGTTTATCTTACTATTGCTGCTACATCTAGAATATGAAGCTGTTATTTGACACGTGCGCTATGAAATGGGTTTTGATCCACGCATGTGTTACCAGGAAAGGTCATCAGGTCAGTCCAGCCATTGGAAATAAGGTGGACACTGTTGTATTGGTTTCGAGATGCTGAACTCAGACTGCTTTCTGGCTACTAAACGAGTCTTTGAATAGTTATAGAGCGAAAAAGCGCAGTGAAAGAGGTTCGGGCTCACAGGTATGAGGTTGTTTGGAACGACTTCTTGCATTGGTACGCGTACAGCGGCGGTCGACAACCTGTTGAAATTGAAAATTTTCCACTTTCAACGTAATACGCTTCTAAATGTCGCTTTATCAGGTTGTTGCAGCACAACCCAACTGACAGGCATTTCGGGATAAGTAGTGAGAGGTGCTAAATTAGTCGGTAACTGATCACCGAAGTGAAATCGTGTTCTCATAATGGGATCATTTCTGAAAATCAATAGTTCAAGATAAACGGCTTACTTCTAGAGTTCCACGTTCGCACTGGTGTGTGTTCTTTCTCCTTCGCCAGCACTTGTTTCTCCCCAAACGGAGACTTTATAAGAAGAGTCGGGGTCGCATTTCTCGTGTAGAATAGGCACGCTGTCTGTGCAGCACGTACGTCTCTTCGGTTTCGTCTAGAAAATTCTTCAGTCATTTTTGAACGACTTCGCATATTTTCAAGCCTTTTAGGGAAAGGTAATCAGGTCGTATCCTGCCGCTTGCGTTGAGTGTTCGTTGCTTCGACATGGCAGAGTCAACCCTGCGTTGCGCAGTTCGCAACGGCACGTTGAGAGATCCTCAACGCACGCTGTATGGGCGGAGACACAGACGGCTCGAGCATGCGAGTGTGAATGTTCGCGCGAGAGAACGTGTCTAATCGGGCGAAACTGCGCAACGTGGCCGTTGAGAACTGCGCAACGCACATTGACTCTGATCCAGAATGCTTCGTATAATGTATGCTATACGAAGTTATTACGTAAGTTGTGGGAGCGTAATTGCAACAGTATGTTATCGCTAATCAAAAAGTCTTTGATGGCTTGCAAATCTATCATTATGGTCTTCAGTCGTGTGTTCAGGATAGTTGATGTATTAGGTTGTCTCATAAGTAGTGGCGCATTTTTTCAAACGGAAATTTTTCTTGTGAACCTCTAATGTTTTACAATGTTTCATATACCATTCGATAGGAAATTATCTGCTCTACAAGAAGGTATGTACCTTTTTTTGATTGTTTGAGTTTTAGGCATGCAAAGTGGGAGGTCCGGACGACGAATTTTCGCCAAACCGACAGCTGACCTAAACTTTATACTTCCCTAGAAGAAATCAATCAATAATGTAACTATAACTTACTCATAACCTCTACTAAACATTCCACATTTAGGTTCCCTAAAAGCTTGTCTCGTTTAATTTTGAGATTTAGTTATTCCAGTGCAACTCGGTGGTTGCCTGCCGGCTTTTGTGGCACTCGATCCTTGGTTGAAGGTGAACAGCAGAAGGTGCCGGAAGTGTTCCTTTTCGTCGACTTGACATACCACCATTTTCTATGCTGAAACTCGAACAGGATTGAGAAACGCTTCCTACAGGTGTATAAAGTAGCGTCAATACTGAGGAATTGGAATGGAAAATATCAGTCTGAAGGAAGCCCTATGGGTTGACAGGCAACCACCGAGTTGCACTGGAAATAACTAAATCTCAAAATTAAACGAGACAAGCTTTTAGGGAACCTAAATGTGGAATGTTTAGTAGAGGTTATGAGTAAGTTATAGTTACATTATTGATTGATTTCTTCTAGGGAAGTATAAAGTTTAGGTCAGCTGTCGGTTTGGCAAAAATTCGTCGTCTGAAGCTCCCACTTTGCATGCCTAAAACTCAAACAATTTGCAACAATCAAAAAAAGGGTACATACCTTCTTGTAGAGCAGATAATTTCCTATCGAATGGTATATGAAACATTGTAAAACATTAGAGGTTCACAAGAAAAATTTCCGTTTGAAAAAATGCGCCACTACTTATGAGACAACCTAATAGTAAGTGATTTCAACTTCCATACCTTATTTGATAAAGCAATACGAG